TTATATGTACCAAAGCCCATTTGTGTATCACCTGGCACTTGCTTTGTTATATGAAATTTATCTTTAGCATTTGGAGAGATGTAAATGAAAGGCATTGTTACTAGACTACTATAGAATGAGTTTCATACAGTTTGTCAAGTATACAGGCATTTAGTGACAGCTCAATTTGGTCATGTTCAACATTGTGGCACTTGTGAATACCTAAATTTCATTAAGCTACGTCATTTTTTTGGTATACTATAATCTTAGTCAAAATATTTTGGATTGATTTCCATAGACAATACAGCAGAATAAAAAAAATTATAATCTTAGAGCATATTACCAAATTAATTATTTTTTTTTAAGTGGGTAGATAAAATTATTTATGTGCTTGCATAACCAAATAATGGCAAAGAAGTGTATGTATGCACATAATGAATGTTAAATCTCAAAACAAAAAGTAAATTATGTAATATCTGGGTGTACAGTAAATAATTTGCTACTTAGTTTTTACTGTTACACATGCATTATATATTAATAGAGTATTTACGAATATAGTGCTCATTTTACTTTGGTTTAATCGGGTGATTATTGTAAACTTATAACATGGTACTTGACATTAAAAATATTTTCATATATGAATAAAAAATGTGTATTCTCCCACTAATGCATATTGCATGATTCTTCCACAGGGCATTGTTGAACTATTATACTTTGTTAGATTATATATATATATATATCGAGGGGTGTAATTGGTTATATATTTCTTATCCTTCAGAGCAGTGCTTGAATTGTATTAGTGCCAAAATTAAAAGTTCATGAGATGCAGCTTGCTATTACAGAATGAGCACAACAGTTATTGCATTATAATTTAAAAGGAAATGCAGTACTGCACTTCAAATCAGCTACAAGGTAAATAGTATCCCTACACTTTTGTACAGGAGGGTTGGGGAAGACTATTATCATGATTTAAACCACATTTGACATAAAAAAAAATTGGCAAGTTATATATCACATATAGTGATGTAGTCTTCACCCCAGTGTCATAAAAATTAATTTGAATAATAATTTTCTCCATGATCTTATTAAATGTTCCAGTGATAATGTAGATGATCCATCTAGGTTGTGAACTACACCTTGTTCAGGGATATGCTTTTGTTATTTATAACTGTTGAGGGCTTGTCAGTGTTCAACATTATCATCTCTGCTGGTATACGGTACATAGGTAGTTTGGGTAAATGGTCGATCTGTGGTCTAAAGCTTGATCACCCGCAGCAATAAATGTAATTGTTACAGTAAAAAGTTTATACAGAAAATTTTTTTATTTTGATCCTTCATACAGCATGGAATGACACTGATAAAGTTGACCAGGCACTCTTGTTCATCTTACAAAAGTATCTTAATGCCTTTCATTCATGGGGGGAACTCTGCAGGTTTGGAGCTTCTTCATGAAAGTAATGTTATATCATAACTAAGTGCTAAACCCACATGGGTAATGTATAATACTATCAAATTAAAAAAATATATATAACTTATAAATATTTAGTTCTAAACCCGAGTCATATAATCCTTTGAGAATGGGAGTTCTTAAACTTTTGCAGGAGAGCAATGAGTCCCATATGGGAAGCAATTAGATTCAACCCAAACAGAGGATACGTCCAATGATTTGGAACAAGAGCCCCTAACCAACATAAAAGCACTTTTCATGAGAGGTAAGAATGGAAGATAATGAGTCTGATCCAAGAAAAAGATGATAGTTCTAATTCCTGGATCAATCCATTCTGAAATTTCTTGATCCTGGTAAGGGTTCCTCATTCCAAGAAATTGGACTTATCCTTCAGTTGCTTAGATTGAACCTCATTCCTCAGGTGCTATAAGACCCCTATGCCTCACCCACCAACTTCATTTGTAAATTACTAGTTATAAAGTGCAAAACTTGTATACCTCAATACACAGTACTGGGGTAAGATTATAATATCCTAATCCTCATTCATTTTAGACAAATTATTTTCTAGTCAATAATAGTAATTTAAATGTCTTTAAACTTGGATATCATTTATAAAATATATATTAGTGCTCAACACAGTATATTGCTGGTCTCCCTTCCATTATGCAACTGTTGTATAAAAACATAATGAATAGTGACTAAATTGAAAGCCAATAAGAATGTGGAAAAATGTGTACTATATATCTGGAGTTTACCTGGAGAGAGTTCCGGGGGTCAACGCCCCCGCGGCCCGGTCTGTGACCAGGATGCGACCCACACCAGTCGACTAACACCCAGGTACCCATTTTACTGATGGGGAACATAGACAACAGGTGGAAAGAAACACGTCCAATGTTTCTACTCTGGCTGGGAATCGAACCCAGGCCCTCACCGTGTGAAGTGAGAGCGTTAACCACCAGGCCACCAGAGCCCTATATGTTGGGTTCTTCTGTACAATATTTCAGTTCCGAGCTGCCAACACATTTCTCCACCCTGCACTTGTTAATGTTATTTGGATATTACTAAAGTACTATATTGTGGTTCCTAAGCAGCGCTGTATAGTCCTTGTGGCTTAGCGCTTCTTTTTGATTATAATAATAATGTGGTTCCTAAGCACATGATAAAGTGAAGCAAAAATGCCTCATAGTGAGGCAGCTTTAGTTGTCTGAAGGCATTATGGTGTTTAACAGCTTGTGATGCAAACAGCAGTCCACTAAGCTCTAAGATGGTTATGAGCATATTAAATATGCCTGACTGTGGGGACCAAGATAATGCTTTAAAAGAGGAAATTGCCTTTGGATGGCCAATTATATTACATATACAATCACTGCTGTTGTATTACAACTTAAAAGAACAGTGGTCATGCTTTTAGCTCAAGAGTGGATTGAAGAATTAAAGAGACACAGACTACACCATGTTCAAATGATGGGTAGAGTGGGGAATTGGCAAGTGCAAAAGTTTCAACTTAAGATCATTCAGCACTGAATGACCCATATGGAATGCAGACGAGAAAGATACATAATATACACTTTGAAAATCCTAGAGGGATTAGTACCAAACCTACACATGAAAATCACTCCAAAGAAAGCAAAAGAAAGCAACATTCCCCCCAATGAAAAGAGAGGCACTAAGAGACTAAGTGTCAGAGCCCCAAGACTGTTTCAACTCCCTCCCACATACATAAGTGGGATTACCAATAGACCCCTGTCTTTCTTTAAGAAAGCGCTGGACAGACACCTAAAGTCAGTACCTGATCTGCCAGACTGGTTCGTACATCGGTTTACATGCGGCCAGCAGTAACAGCCTGGTTATCAGACCCTTATCCACCATGAGGCCAGGCCAGGGGGGCGTTGATCCCCGAAACTCTTTTCCAGAACATTTTGTGAATAAAAAAAAATCTAGATCATGGATGAAGGAAAGCACTAGTCCTAATGCCAACAAGATGATGCTCTTTTGGAAAAAAAATCCCTATTCAAAAATAAATAATATGCTTCTGGTTTCAAGGCAGCCAAAGACGAGTTGACCCTTGTCTGTGCCTCGATAGACTGATTAATCCAATTATAATCTACTATTCCCTCAATATGTCAGTGCTTAGAAGGAAAACCAACAAGCAGTTACCAATATTTTGGAAGAAACTATAGGTAAGAAGGCTGGGTCAACAAAATCCTCTTAAGAACTGTTTTGTCAATGCAGAGAAGACATGTTGAAGCCAGAAAAATTGGAGTTAAATCTTGCTTAGACAATGCTCTTACCTACAAGAATGCATCACTGATGCACACCCTAAAATCAAGGTAGCAGTCCTACCTCCAAACATGACCTCTCTTCAGAAGCCTTTGGGAAATAGTGGCAAGTGCTGCCTTCAAGACCTGCTAAATCACAATCACTTTCTGCTCCATTTTGGGAATAACTGATGATACAATATGAAAGCAAGTGCTGAGAAAGCTGCAGGGCTGCTTGATTAAAATTAACAAGTACCATAAAAATAAGCTAGAAAAAGTTGTTGCAAGAGGCAGTCTATCAAACAGCCCCACAACTCTCTGCACCTCTTCTATATATTTACTCTCCCAACCAAAACTTCTTGCCCTGCCCTCTGCAAGGGTGAGCCTTTAATCCACTACCCCAACCCAGATCCCTACCTCCTCCTTTATGACCACGCCACAGCACAGGTTAAGCAGTCAGCAAACCCTGACCACAACTTGAGCTGCAAAGACCTTACGAACAGGAGAAAGGACCAAGCCCTGGAATGTGCCAACACAATGTCCCGCGGCTGGGTCTAGCCCAAGCTCTAATCCTTCCTCTACCCCTCCGCTATCCCCACTTCCTCCCATCTCCTCAAGGCTCTTACCTGAGAATGACTGACTGAATGGATGTAAATATAACACTGTAATAATATCTATTTCTAAAAGTACATGTACAAGGTACACAGGCCTAGCTGACATCAATGACATACTATTATATAGAAAGCCCCTTGTTATGCACAGCATTTCGGGCAAATTAGGTAAATTTTGTCCCAGGATGCAACCCACATCAATCAACTAATCCCAAAGTACCCATTTTACTAAATGGGACAGCAGGTGTCTAATGGAAACATGTCCTATTGTTCTCGAGCTTTACTGGGGGATCGATCCTCTGGACCTCAGTGTGTGAGCCGAGCGTGCTAGTGATCAATACATGTTTCTGTATCAGCACCCACAGACTCATCACTGAATGATTGTGAATGTTGCTATGCATTTTAAATTTTTCAAACTCATCACTAGCACTGAAATTATTAACCACACTGCTACCTCACCTGCCTTACCATTTTTTTTATAGTACACTTCTTACAGTGCAATGTAATTTAGTTTTATATGGAGTAGACAACAAAGCTAACATAAGGCATAGGTCAAATGACCAACAGATCCACTGAGCAGGTCATCATATGACCAAGAAAAATTGGCCTATTTTTTCTGATGAAAAAAAATTTTTCCCTACTTGTTAAGTCCTGTAACACATGGCCTTCTGAATAGTCACCATGAGATTGGAGGTCACTCCAAACAAAGAACTTTGCTGTATCCTCCAAGAGCTTACTGGGAGTGTAGGTAAGTCTAGCAGTAGAGGCAGCTTTTGCATGCTCTACAGTTTCTATAAATTTCTTACATTTTTAAGATGGTATAGACTAGCAATTTTACCTAATTTCTTGGCAGCCTCACCATAGCATATAAGATATTCATTGGTGGTTAGTGTGATTCCTTGACTATTATTCTTCACACTACAAGTCATTTTGGAACTAATGTTGGCCAAGGTGAAACCTTAGGAAGACACTGATACCAAGACAAAACACAGAAGTCTAACTGGCTTACCATATAATAATGGCTGTGTAGCCCATAGTCTCCCCAAAAGATGACACTGTGCTATCCTGGGATTACATGCATTCTCTTCTTTGCACCAAGAGTGAAAAAAAAACAGTTGCTAGGGTATAGTAAGTTATTCAGCACAATCATTTCCTAATGTATCCTTGGTAGCTACATGAGATAACACTAACCAAAAACTTACTGACTTAACCCTATATTTTACAAGTCATTGACAAATAAGCCTAGCTTATATTAATTTTTTCATACTAAAAAAATTATATTATCAGAATTACACACATTTCTTCAATGGGCAATAGTATTAACTGAAGATAGAATGACTATAGATATACTATTAGGTACAGTTAAGCTATATGTATGTTATTATAGCGTGTAAACTTGAACAAGGTTAGGCTAGCCTGTTAATTAGTTTAGATGCAAAGAAAAAGAATACATTCCAGTTCATTTACAGGAATATTAACCCATAAAATATGACTTGGGGAAAAATCTAATACAGTGGAACCTCAAAAATCGAACGTATCACATATCGAACGTTTCGAAAATAGGACCATTTTTTCGGACAAACTGTGTCCCTATTATCAAATGCGCCCCTATTTTCGGACCGCCGGGTACGGGACCTGTCTGCCGCAGGCACCGTGAGCAGTCTAGCTTTGTTTATGCTTGAGTGAACACTAACCTGCGCTCTCATTCACGCATTTTACGATTATTTCTGCCAGGATTTATGGGAAAAACAAGTCGACCATCGGTTCTATCCTGTCAAAGGAAGCTGATGTTGCAAAAGGTGTTAATATAGGGAGTGGATGAGGTGCCTTCTTCAAAGATTAAGGAGATTTGTGCCAAGTGGAATGATGTCCAAATGTTTGTGCAGAAGTAACACCCTGAGCAAGCTGAAACAAGCCATCTTTGCAAGAAGTTCAGTGACAGAACCATGTCCCATTTTAGGGAAATGTTAAAGAGGCGCCAGAAACAGAGAACTGTGGACAGTTATTTTGTGAGACAGGGGTCCAGTGACTCTCAAGCTGGTCCTAGTGGCATTAAAAGACAGAGAAGGGAAGTAACCCCAGAGAGGGCTTTACCTGAAGTCCTCATGGAGGGGGATTCTCCTTCCAAACACTAACCCCAACTCCCTCTCTCCTCCTCCCTATCTTCCAGATGCCATCACCAATCTTCAATAATGGTAAGTAAAAATGTTATTTTATATATATATTGCTATACATAATTAATGTTGTGTTAATGTTGCAGTTTAAAAACTGTAGTGTAAAGCACCCTTCTGGCAAGACAGTGATGGAGTGAATGATGGTGAAAGTTTTTCTTTTTCAGGCCACCCTGCCTTGGTGGGAATTGGCCAGTGTGATAATAAATAACATAATTAAAAACTATAGTATTTGTTGTATGTAAAACTGTAATTAATCTCTATAAAATGTATTTTTTGTGTGAATATTTTTGGGTTTCTGGAACAGATTAATTGTATTTCCATTATTTCTTATGGGAAATATTGCTTCGAATTTAGAACTAGCTCCTGGAACGGATTAAGTTCGATTTTTGAGGTTCCACTGTAAAGACAATGTATCCATATTTAACCCTTTCAGTGTCGTGACCCATGTTCACAAACTTTCTCCCAGGGTCGAAGAATTTAAAATAAATAAATTATTTTATCTTGTGAAATGATAAGAGAAACTTTTTCCGAAGGTAATGAAACCAAAAGTACAAAACTTCATGGAAAACATATGGAATTATGGTCTTACAAAGTTAGCAGTCTCAGCAATATTTATGCATCAGTAATTTTGTCCACTTTATGCTCTATTTTTGGTCAATTCCATTGTTCCAGTCAATCAAACTTACAGTTATGTCACTAGTATTCCTTTATTCTATTGAATGGGTACAAGAAACTGCCCATTTACCTGTTTCAACTATCCAATACAGTTATCAGGAATTGGTAATTTGGACAATTTCACACAAAATTCAACAATTGGAATTTGAAAACAGGGTCCAGAATAAACAATGTAGTCATTTCTAGCACTAAATCAACATTTCCTCATGTCTCCAGGTCACTCTTATATGTATTACACTAGCTTCTCATTTGGAATATTCATTCAAAATAAAAAGCAAGTGTAATATATTTACAATAACACAGACTACTGTATAAATAACATCAGTGCTTTCCTAAATGCGTACATATTAGACTGGCCAGCTGGAGGCGTACTGTGCACTCCGGAATATGTATTGGCAAAAATCAAACATTACAGTTATTTTGAGCTCAATTTCAAGCCACTTTCAGTCCTGAAACTAATCAAAATCATCTCTATTTCTGTAATATATCTTCCATTCTATCAAATGAGACCGAGAATACAACCATACAAAAATACACTGCAAAGTCGTTGTTTTAAACCAAACACACAGTTGCATTTTATTTTCTCATGCACTGCATGCTGCAGGATTATTTTTTATATGGTGCACTCTTACCACATAGACCCCTTCTCTCATATCTAGGCCCAAATTTACTGCTCACAGCTTACTTGAGTGAGCTGAGCTCATGGCATCATACTACGGGATCGACACTACTTCGAACCCGAGATACAACGGGACCAATACTGAAAGGGTTAAATGATGAAAACACCTCATTCCATTCTTAAATCTTATAGTTTCAATGCACAGCTTTACGTAGGAGCTAACTTTGATAATGGGTCTAAGACAGTGACCAGACCAGCAAATGATGACACACTTCCCAGGAGCCCTACCATTCCAGGAGACAGTTTCGTGTGACCGAGGCTAGTTAAAGGAATCCATATATCACAAAAATTCTTTAAACTATCCCAAAACACATCTCTATGGCCCTCAGCAAAAGCTACGACTGGTCTAGTAGCTGGGATGCAATCATACATAGTTTTTATGATAGGGAAAGTTTTGTATAAGCAAGGCTCTGGAGTTCGGCAACGAACCTGCTTTTGAGCAATCTGAAAAATTTCATAAACATCCCTGATCAAATTTAGAATGATAGATCCCAGCCAAAACTTATTGGAATAATCTGACCATTTTGCTTTGTTGATATCGTAAAGCCCAACTCGGCCAATCCAGATGATGTGGTCAACTAGTAGGTAAAAGGTCTGGTAGATTCTAGAGAGTGTGAGTGTGACTCGCAGGACTAAATCTGGAAGAAGGCGAGTGCGCAGTGCTCCGTGTAGAGTTTCAAGACTTTTTCCAAGGCGTAGCACTGTTGAAAAGTAGTCAGCATAAATAAGTCATCAGAATTTTGCACAGGAAAGATTAATGTGATACAGAGAATATTTGAAGTAAAAATGTAACTACACAAAAGTATATACTCTGATAATGAGGTTTAGTGGCAGAGAGCCCCACAAGTTGTTTGTCCCGAGGCCTCAATAGTACTTAATACAGCACTGCACATGACAGTCCACCCATGGAGAGCCACCTTCCAAGACTGACAGGTACATCCTCTGATGTTGTCATGAACCATTAAGGTAAAAGCTGAGAAAACTATGAGCTGTTTTCAGGTACAGGAGGACCCCACTTTACAGCACTTCACTTCATGGCATTTCATTAATGCAGTGTTTTTCAATTATACCCATTCTTCACTTATTCAGACTTCCTATAATAAATATATTCACCACTCACTATAAGCTAAGAACAAAAATATTTTAAGCTAAGTAATGTGTGTACCGTATATTCACTTTTTAGGCCTAGCTCTACTGCTCACTTAATGTATGATAGTGTAAACATGTTATCAGTCTTTCATATGCATTTGAAAGTGAAAAAAAGGCTATGTTTCACTTTAGAGCAATTTTCACTTTACAGCAGTACCCCAGAACATAACCTGCTGTATAAGTGGGGCCTGTTTGTAATTGCAATACGAGGAAACCTGCAACTCCCTATTTCCCCTCATCAGGAAACTGTGCCTACTTCTGGAGCTGCAGCTCACTGAGAGGCAGTATACTTCTTTGGTAGGACTGAAATAAATGGAAGGCTGTGCTGAATCCTACCAAATCAATCTGCTGGCCAACAGAAGCAAGCACTAGATTCTTCCAGCCCTGTAGCTGTTACAAGGTACCAAATTGTTATTTATGTATCAAAGTACATATCTCTAATTGGTTTCCATAGTGGGTGGAGAGATGGAAAGATGAGAAGTGACAAGTGTATCACTGAACTCTTAAACAACCCTAGAGGCAAACTCCTGCATTCATGAAACTGAACCATCAGTATAGTACCTAACCTGGAGGCAGTTCAGAATACATAGTAATAAGATTGATCTTTTCTTGTTTATATGTTTCTTAGTTACATTCATGGGAGAAGCACTAAACCAGTAAGTCACAATGCTTGGAGGAATGGAATGCAATCAGGTTAGATCTGAGGAGAAGATAGGTTCAATTTCCTTAAGAGCCTCTCACCAGTATCAGGGCACAGGAGAATACTGTACTGTTCTCTATGATTACTGGACAGCAAACTATTACTAAACTTCAAAATGGTATAAAATACCAACAGGTTGTTAGATAAGACATATATGCAACTGTTGCATATGTGTCTTACCTAACAACATTAACTAAACTCTTGACATCCCAAAAATACAACAATTGTTTAGTAACTGCAAAAACTGATAAAAACAGTATCCTTGGTTTTTCTAATTCACCTCTTCTCTATGCCTGCAGAAACATACCCCTATGTCCCAGCTACTATTAGAATTTATTTTTCTGTCCTGACGTATGGGAAAAATTCTTTGTGCTGCTGAGGATGCTACGGTTAACTGTAAATTTGCCTGGGCACTTCCGACATCAAATCTGGGACTCTTCCCTGTTTATTATTGCATTTCAAACTTAACAGTGACCTTCTCTTAGTGTAACAGGATAGAACTCCTAAAACCAAAATACAAAATTAAGCCCACTTCTTAGTACCAGTTTATCAACTATGGCGCTTTCCTTTAAGCATGAACACTGAACTGATGCTAATAAACAATGTTAATACTTTTTCATTATATATGATTTGTAAAACAATATTTGGAACAAGCATGAAACTTTTTTTAATAAAATATTTTTTAAACTATGAAGGGATTCAAGAAGACTGATTAGTTGGACTTGAATCCCAGAGGTGGGCAGTACAGAGCCTGCATTCTGAATGAGAGGGAGGGTTATGGCAATTTGGAAGATCATTTGAACTGTGATTTCTGAACAAATGGTGGTGAATGTTTTCTTTTTTTTTTCATTTTATAGTTTTTAGGGTGTTAGTCACCCTACCTCAGTGGAAGATTGCTGGTGTGTTCAAGGACTATAAAAGGCAGATTATTAATTCACCATCTGGCAGCTTATCTACTGCATCAAAACAAGGATACACAAAAATTTTTCCAACCATCACAGCCTTTCAAGCATAAAGCTTTAGGGGAATTATTTGCTAGACAGACAAGCATCAGCCTTTGGCTTTACTTTTATTTTGTCTTTTTTATAAACACTGTTTCCTCTTTCAAGGCATGGGGGATCTTGTTCTAATATAATCCAAAATACAACACTAAGCTTGTATTCTCTCCTGATTTCAGATTTCTCCTCCCCTCCTCATTTATTTCACTAAAATACTTTACAAAACACTTCTATCATTCTTACTCAAACTTTCTATTCAAATGTGCAAAAAGCTACATAGTCCATATTTTGTTAACCACTTTTGTGAAAATGAAACCTTTCCATATAACACACGTTAAAAGTTTATACTACCACTTATTAAGATTAGCAAAGAATTTTTATGGTAGTAAATCTATAAATAATACAAAAAGGCCTCAAAAATTTTGGGAGTGCGATATCATATGATATTTTTACTTCACTTTTTTACACCGACCATTTGCCAACAAGAAACATCTCAAGAAGGAAATACATTCACAATCATTCAGTCCCTAGCTGTCTTTCTAGAAGTGCATGGACACCACAATTCAAAAGATACACCAAACTCAAACCTTTTCATCCATCCCATACCTGCATGTGCAACTATACTTTACTGAAGTTTAGATAAGCAATATATACAAAGACACACTTAAAAAGGAGGTTTGGTCTTGGGTACTGAGGAGGTTGATGTTGCTGGGCATTGTATGCTAGCACAAGAAAGCATGTCATTAAATCTGGTCATTAAATCCTCTACTTTTACTAACCGCAATCTGAGTGAATTTACAATGTAAGGTGTATGATCAAAAACCTGTTAACAATGCTGTACTCACACTTTCTAAAAGACGAAAAGGCACTCTCCAAGATCTTGAGACGAGCCACTGCATCTCGGAGGTTTTCCCTTCTCTCTAAGTTGTGCCATACAAAGCGACTTAAATACTGAATTAGCCTAGAAGAAAAGACAATTTAATTATGTTAATACCATTTATTATAGTATTAAAAAATGTTAATAAACAACCTTAGTGTAGTTTACATGTAATAAAATATGGTTAAGCACAAAGAAAGCCACTAATAACCATCCACGGAGGTACTACCATTCTGCCAAATGAGTGAAATGAAAACCTGCAATTGTTTTACACAATGTTTGGATTCTGGTGTCTTTTCTTTGTCTCAAACACACAAGATAACATGTACACCTTGCTACTTCTACTTATACCTAGGTCACTCTGCACATGCATGTACACATACATGTATACACACATCTGATTTTTCTTCTGTTTTCTTAACAACTCTTGTTCTTATTTATTTCTCTTCATCTCCATGTAGAAGTGGAGAAGAATCCTTCCTCTCAGCCATGAGTACCATAAGTGGCAGCTAAAATACCGAGAGCAAGGGGCTAGTAACCCTTTCTCCTGTATTAATCACTAAATATAAAAAGAACTTTCTATTTTTTCAGGTCATCCTGGTTCAGTGGAAGATGGCTGGTGTTGATAAACAAAATATTCAATACATTTCCCTTGCATAGGGAAGAATAATTCATTCATTCATTTCCAAACACTCGAACGAGTTTTGTTTGACACTGACATAAAACTAGATTGAATGCTAAAATGCAATATACAGTAGGCATCATAAATATGTACACACACAAACTGATCACACAGAAAACGAGACTGCTCACCATAATCTACCGTTTTAAATATATAATAGTGGAATATACATGTACTGTATATGTCTTTCTCACCTAAACTAGCATTTTGTAGGATTACCATTCCTCTTGATGTGCTCCTTAAGTCTCCTAAGCCCTGATAAGGCTAACTTTTGGAGGATAGAAAAATCAATATCTTCCCACTACTGAATGGCACTAAAGATTTTGAGGTTAAAAAACATGTCCATACCATGAGGCTTATGCTTAACAAGTTTCCAAATGTTTTCTATGGTATTAAGTCCAGGGAGTTTCCAGGCCAGTCATTAAAGTATGAAAATCTCACAATAAGTTAGCTAATTCTTTATGTCTTTAACAGCATGGGAAGGAATACAATTTTCCATACAAAATTTGTTGTGGCTCTTGAATCTATCAAGCAAACAGTCTGCTAAAGGAGTACCAGTACTTATGGGTATAGTACATACTATTTATGATGCCTGCTGTACACACTGTAAATTACTTTCTTTTTATAAAATACAAAAATTCTTAATTCAATCTTGCAATAAGATCTATTTGTTACCTGAAAATCTTGTCCTTTCCTGCTGTAGTGGAGTTCAGCCTGATCCAAGTGTCCATGGCTCACACTACTGAAACTACAACTTAAGATTTATGATCATGAAAATTTAACATTGTGAAAAGTCTTATTTAAAATATCAAAGCATTTAATAACTAAACATGGTTCACCTGATCTTTTTGACTTACTTCTATGACTTCTTACAAAGTTGCAAGTTTTATAACTGGTCATACTGTTGTATATGGCCACATAATTTCAAAGGAATACTACTGTATATGGGCAATCCTTAACATACAAATGAGATGTGTTCCTGGTTTCTCAACTTGAGAACTGTTTGTATAGGAAATAATAATTAAAAGGAGGGCCATGTTAAACACCTGTACATGTTCATACCTAAGCTATAATGCTTTCTTGGACACAGGTCTCCCCTAATGACTGATACACTCACAAACATGTACGGTAAGTAGATTTTTGTTAAGGGAGATATTTCCCCTTCAAACTATTGCATAATCAGAGAAGTGAAACTGGAAAAAATACTGAATATACATTTCTTATTAACACTGTCCCATATTAATATGAAAGGGCATATATACACCAACTGTGCACACAGACATTACAATATATGAACCCCAAAACTAAGCCTATCCCATCCAACCCCCCCCCCACACACACAAAAAAAAAAATGCCATACAGAAGTACATGTAGAACTCGCACTAACAATGTTTGTTTGCTGGCTTGAGTACTTCAAGAATGAGTGGTGGAGTTCCATGTTACTTGACAACCCAACACAACTACTGAAGAAAGAAATGAAGGAGGCAGAGAGTGAAAATACATAAATGGGGGATCATGTGCCTCCTCATCTGAGCAATCAGTTGTGGGAAGATGATTAACACTAGGAGTTACATCTCTTGTAGAGGGACCCACAGTACTGTAGCCGCAAAATACTTTACTCTGGTTGTCTTAAATGTAGGACTAAATCTAAAATGTACATAGAATGATGGCTGCAAAGCTTGACTTGTTTTTTTCACTTACGGTACTATTTCAATACAACAGAGTGATGACCTCTGCACTAAGGTTTATGCTGTATCTTAGCAATTTAAACGTGTCACATTAGTTTGACTGGCAAGAGCCAGTGACATTTATTTTCATGCAGATGAAAACTACAGTAACAGTAATGTAATGAATAGTTTGTCCTTAACCCTTTCAGGGTTTCGGCCACACTAGTACGGCTTATGTGCCAGGGTCCTTGACGTACTAGTACTCATAAATTCTAGTGCCTTCAAATCTAGTCCCCTCAAGGAAGGTTCTTTGATGTTGGTGAGGGGCTCTTGATTTAGGGAATTGGATCTGTGCTCCAGTTCCCCAAATTAAGCCTGAATGCCTTCCACATCCCCCCCCCCCAGGCGCTGTATAATCCTCTGGGTTTAGCGCTTCCCCCTTGATTATAATAATAATAATAATTCAAATCTAGTGAGAGAAAGCTGGTAAGCCTACATATGAAAGAATGGGTGTATGTGGTCATTGTGCACAGTATAAAAAAAATCCTGCAGCACACAGTGCTTAATGAGAAAAAAAAACTTTGACCGTGTTTTTGGATTAAAACAGCAACTTTGCACTGTATTTTCGTATGGTATTTATTGTTGTATTCTAGTTTTCCTGGTCTCATTTGATAGAATGGAAGACATATTACAGAAATTGAGATGATTTTGACTGGTTTTACAATGAAAAGCACCTTGAAATTGAGCTCAAAGTAGCAGAAATGTTCTATTTTTACCAAAGTTCAAAAGTAAACAAATCATGCTAAGCGTCCAATACACTTCAACTGGTGAGTCTAATATTCTTTCACAAGTGTGCCGATATTATTTATACCATTTCTACACTAATGCAGTAGTCTGCATAACAGTAAATCTTCTAGTTTTTGTGAGAATAAAAATTCAAAATGGAAAGCAAAAGAATGTAAGAGGGGCATGAGGACGTGACTAATGAACAGAGGAAATGTTATTTTAGTGCCAGGAATGTCTTTCTTGTTTATTCTGGACCCTATTTGGAAATAGGCATCTTTTGAAATTTGTGTGAAATTGGCAAAATTGCTAAATTCTGACCACTGTATTGCATAGTTGAAATCGGTAAATGGGTAGTTTCTTGTACTCATTCGATAGAAAAAATGGAGCTCTAGTGAAATAGATATGATTTTTGTCGACTAGTACACTGAAATTGCTGAAAATAGGGCTCAAAGTGGGTAAAATCGCAGATGCGTAAACATCGTCGAGACTGCTAACTTCATGAGAGCATAATTCCCTAAGTTTTCCATCAAATTCCATACTTTTGGTGTCATTATGATCGGGAAAAGATTCTCTATCTTTTCATAAGAAAAAATAATTTTTTTTTTTTGAAATTTGGGGGACCCTGAGAACAAGTCTCTGAGATGGCCTGTGGACCCTGAAAGGGTTAAAGGACTGTGTTAAATAAGCTGACATTAAGCAGGGAAGTGATCTATACTGTGTTTTTAATCCTAAAACACTTTTTTTTTATCACACTAACCATCTCCCACCAAAGTACTGGAGGGCCCTGCTGTACTATGCTTTGCTTTATGGCAGTTTGCTAATGTGAACATTTCAAATTACACCCAAAAATTAATTTATGTATAAGGATCCTAATTCGCTATTACGGTGTCCGCGTGCCACCTGTTCACTCTGTTGCTTTATATCCTCCGTGAGTTCTGTCTCTCTCCTGATTATGTCTGGAAGCTTTCCAAAGTTTCAATTGTTTTAAAGTTATTACATCATAAGCCTCTTACTTTAAATAAACTCTGAGGAGAAAGTGTTGCAGGAAATTTAAAGTGCTACACCAGTGAACACTAATTTATAAGAAAACATGATAACCTTATTGCTAATGTGGAAAAAACTTTTAGCGGTGTGGATTGAAGATTAAAGTAGTCACAACGTGCCTTTAAGCCAAACCATTATCCAGGCCAAGACTCTAATTCTCTTCAATACTATGAAGGCTGAGAGAGGTAAGGAAGCTGCTGAAGATAAATTTGAAACTAGCATAGGCTGGTTTCATCTCCTGATTTCCTACAATATATACTACTTACCTCTCACCCTACATTAAGGCCAAAAATTCACTTTACAGCAGTATCCTGGAACCTAACCTGCCGTAAAAACGGGGCCCTCCTGTGGTAACCCAAATAAAGAAATGCATTCACCATCATTTTGTTCAATAACTGTCTTGGCAGAAGTATGCAAACATCACAATTCAAATGACCCAATGAACTGCAACATTCCCACCCTGCCTTCCGAGTGCAGGCACTGTATTTCTCATCTCCAGGACTTCCTGAATCCCTTTCTGGAGTCCAACAGCATATCCATTTATTCATATCCTGAGCATGGTAAATTACGTGTCAGTCTCCTTATAGCCATCACCCAAGTTAACCTAAATGTAAATATAGTACCTGGGTGTTAGTTTCATTCTAATTATTGTTCAATACTCTGCTAGGGATACCTAGATAAAAGCCATGGGCTTTGTATCCCAGATACAGTATGTTTATACCAAATGGTTATAACTAATCCTATATGCAAATTATAATTTTCCATAAGGTTAGGAAAAGTAAATCTATTTCATGCCAAGTATACTAGGGGAGGGTAATTTAATGCTGTAGGGTATGTTAGATTGAATAAACCAAGTTGTAAGAAAGTGAACATAAGATGTACAGTATATTTAAAACAAAATAAGATACTAATTTTGTAATTTTTGTTAATTTATAATGAAGTTGTTAATGCTAGACATTATATAATATTTTTAGAACTCGACTAAATTTGAGTAACTGCAGCATATCTGTGTTGTCAAACCATTTCACCTGCTTAGTATGCTTCTTCTGTTGAATACTGAGGCAACTTACATACTGGCAACAGAAGCAGAGGAGAGGTAAATATAAGGTGATAAATCTTCCAGCCTTGAATAAGTAATTTTGAGGTGGGTCCCTCAGCATTATCTTTTTTTTTTTTTTTTTTTTTTTTTACACAAATCAGTTTCACAGGCTGTTATCCTACTTCAGCTCATTTCAAAGTCCAGCCCCTATCCAAGATATACATATACTACCACCCCCAGGATGCAACCCACAATAGTCAACTAACACCTAGATACCTGCATACTATTAGTTAAACAGGGACAGCAGGTGTAAGGAAACATGCTTAATGCTTCCACCCGTGCTGGGGATCAAACCACGGACACTCAGTACGTAAGTCGAGTGCACTGCCTACCAAGCCACAGGAGAAGTGTTCAGCTCCATACACTATCAAGGCTATGTAGCCAAACACTTAACATGACTGTACGACTGATCACCTCATATTTACCATTCCATTCCTTCTACTATCTCCATTATTTAAACCACCTCTGTATTCAACTGAAGGAGCCTGCTGAGCATGTGAAATATTTCAACAATAAAGATACTAGACACTTATGCAACATATGGGAATCTTTATTCAGGAAACATTTCACCACACAGTGACTTCATCAGTCCAATACAAAGTAGAAAGTTGTAAGGAGAGGAGGAGTTTGAGGTAATCAGTCCCTCAGCCTGGAGTCGATGTGTTCAGTCCATCTACAAGATTGATGGACTGATGAAGTCACTGTGTGGTGAAACGCTTCCTGAATAAAGATTCCCATATGTTGCATAAGTGTCTCAATCTTCAACTTGTCGGTTTTTCAAACCATTCATCATAATAAAGATACTAGACTACTGCACATGTCTCTTACTCATCTATTTGTTATAAGAATAATAATAATAATATAATAATATCTTTATTTACTACAAGTACATGTACAAGGTATACAGTCCTAGCTGACATCAGTGACATACTACTATGCAGAGCATTTCGGGCAAATTAAATCAGTTTTTGTCCCAGGATGCGACCCACGGTACCGTGATCGAGATACGTTCAGAGCACTTTGACCGTGTTAGTCACTCTGGGCTTACAGTAATAAAAAAAATAAATACACACACGTAATAAAAACAACGAAAATTTAATAAAAGCTAGCAACATTAGCACTCAACACAAACAAATGCTATCATACCAGGTT